TTTGTTTAATTTACGTAATACTTATAAGTACATTCCAGTAACGGCTACTCTTTTTTTCCTCATCCAACCTATTCTCTCTGCAGGGTTGGCATCAGGCTTGACTCCGATGTATGTGGGGGAGATAGCTCCTACGAGTCTGCGAGGGGCATTGGGGACACTGCATCAACTGGCTATAGTCACTGGTATTCTCATGGCACAGGTAGGACAGCACACCCTGATATTAATGTTGCGAACATTATGAAACTTTTCTTTCTTTTGTCTGCATATTTTGGAATAGCCCTTACTTATTAGTATAGCATTAGTATATTTTCATTTCCTATTCCCTCACACTTGATCCCTCTCTCTTTGCAGATCCTCGGTCTGGAGTCCTTACTGGGTGTTGAACATTTGTGGCCAATTCTGTTGGGTTTAGCAATCGTTCCAGCTGTTTTTCAGATGGCTCTTCTGCCTTTCTGCCCCGAGAGCCCCCGCTTCCTCTACATCGTCCGCTGCCAGGAGCACCAAGCTAAGAGAGGTGAGCAAGAAGCTAAGGTTAGAGATATTGGCTGTAGAGATGTCTGTCTTCTATCGATCATAAAGGAACCAGAAACACTCCGTTTGTGGTGCTCATAGTGCCACAAAGTACTTTTTTAATAACTCTACGGGAATGTCTCTTTTAAAAAATCATGACCTGCCCATTTAAGAGAATCCACAAACCTAGACATGAGCAGTTTCAAAATGGCATTATTACCTTTTTTTTAACCAAACTGTACAAGAAAGAATGAGCTACTTGTCAATTAGTAGATGCACACTTTCTTATGTGCTGTGGTATGTTTGGAAGGCGAACTCCAGTTGAAAGAAAAATAGTTACTACGGGAATTTCTTACAACAAGGGTCCGTTGATTATATTGAGAAACCGGATCGTTATATCAGGAAAGAGAAACTGCTGTTGAGTTTTTAAGGTATTATTTTCCTGGCCCTATTATATCTCAGAGAAGGCAGACATCTCTAGAGCCAATATCTCCAACCATGCTGTACTAGAAGACATCACGTAATATATCTGGGTCTGAATGTACTAGAACAGGTGTCTAAATGTCCCAAAACTCAAATAGAATATGTTAATCAAACATACAGACCTCTTAGATATCACGCTTTACATGTCTCCTTTGTGCAGGCCTGAGGAGGTTAACGGGGAGACAGGAAGTGGGCAGTATGTTGGCGGAGATGAAAGAAGAGAAGAGGAAGATGGACATGGAGAGGAAGGTTTCCATCCTGGAGCTCTTTCGCTCTAAGATCTACCGGCAGCCCATCATGATCTCCATCATGCTGCAGCTCTCCCAGCAGCTGTCTGGGGTCAATGCAGTACGTGTTATTAAATTCAACTTCACAGCAAGAAATACCACATTATTCTTGAATTTTTTTTGTTGTACAAATGACATCAATTCACTTTGCATAGAGTCTCAAAAAGGAAAGTCAATTAGTGCTGTATAATATGGCGTCATTCTGATCTGATTTCCCCTCTGGTCAGATTTTTTACTACTCCACCAGTATCTTCATGAAGGCAGGAGTCCAGAGTCCAGTCTATGCCACCATAGGAGCAGGCGTGGTGAACTGTGCCTTCACTGTGGTCTCGGTCAGTAGCACATCTCTGATTTCTAATATCTCTACTGCTTCCTTATTAAATTACCTCATTTTGAAACTTTAATCTTTAATGAATATAGAATGATGAAGAAAACAGTCCTGCTATGTACCAAAGCATGTCTCTTATGTCATGGCCATTTCTACTGATCATAATTCCATTGTTGAGGTCTACTAGAATAGATTTACATTGTTCAATTTTCCAAACTCAAATTGGTTTCTCATACAGCATCTCTGTATAGTATGTGTATTCACTCTCTGTCCTACACGGCTTGTTGGAGCTCCTGCCCCCCCCCTCCCTGTGAGCCCACTGTGCTCTGATGTGTATTTATGTTTTACAATGGCGTTTGTTAGCAACCAGAAAATGACACCAGCAATGACAAACAGATGAGAATGTTGCGTGGGGTCTGAGAAACCCAGCCCGAGCACACGCGCGCACGCACGCGCACGCACGCACACACACACACACACACACACACACACACACACACACACACAAACCCTCCCCACGTCTCAGGCTGAGAAATCCGTGGAGCTGCAGCTGAGAAAATATTTTGTGTGTGTGAGGAAGTCCGCGGATTGGTCCAAACGTAACGGCTCCGCGCACGTAACGTAACGTCACTATACCCAATACGTCACTGTACCCAGGAAGAAAAAGAAAAATCTCCAACGAGGGGTTCTGAGGCAGCATAGATAGGTATTTTCTGTGTTAGAGTTTTACTCGCTACAGGGTGTACTTTGAGGGTTTGTGACTCTGCAGACCGTTTACTGTACATGCAGAAAAAGCTATACACAAGGGGACGGGTAATAACCGGAAAAGCATAACATGGGACCTTTAGCAATGTTATCAAAGAGCAAATAACGTAACACTACAGGTTCTTCTTGTGCCTGCCTCTCAAACATTCCTGCGTCCAAATAGGTCAAGTTTGGTTTAGCTGGTCAAGATCATTTCAATGTCACAATATTGGTCACGAAGCAGGACTTTTAGCTAGTAGTAGCATCGCTCTTTGGTGTGTCCACTATTTGCTGGTGATCCACCATCATGTGGTTGTGTGTGCTAATCGCTTGAAATTTGGTGTAAAAATTAATATCCTCCTCAAGGTGAATTGTCAAAACTTTGATTATTAGCTTAAGCTGTAGCTGCTAATGGGCTTATAATGGCAAACGTTAGCATGCAAACATGGGCAACATGAAACCTGCTAAGTATCAACATGTTAGCATTGGTAGCATTTGGCTCAAATCACCACTTTTAAAGGGAATAGAGCTGCTAGCATAAATAAATAATCTAGCTTTCTTTGTCAATGAATCATATTTCAGAACAAGCTAGGTGAAAAGCTAACTTAAGCAACCAAAGTAGAATATGTAAGGTTTACATCCAGTCACCTCCTGAGAATAATTCATTTTCTTGTTATTTACAGCTCTTCCTGATAGAGAGGATGGGTCGGCGGACGCTCCACATGCTGGGACTTGGCGGGATGGCCATCTGTGCCATCATCATGACCTTGGCTCTTGCTCTGTTGGTCAGTCTCTGCAGAGAAGCAATTATTCCTCTACTGTTATGGATGTTGTCTGTACAAACCACTGAACCTCTTTTCCTACCACCTGATAGGAGCGTGTTCCATGGATGAGTTACATCAGCATGCTGGCCATCTTCGGTTTTGTGGCCTTCTTTGAGATCGGTCCGGGTCCCATTCCTTGGTTCTTTGTAGCTGAGCTCTTCTCTCAGGGTCCAAGGCCGGCTGCCATGGCTGTAGCCGGCTTCTCCAACTGGACCGCTAACTTTATCATTGGCATGTGCTTCCAATCTGTTGCTGTGAGTATTACTTACCTTGATGATGTTGGAGATATTCTAAACAAATAAGTATGGTCTTCTCATTCTCTAACTGTAATCTGTACTTTTCCCCCATCCTCTTCCAGGACGCTACTGGGCCATATGTCTTCCTGATCTTCGCATCACTCCTCATCGTCTTCCTAATCTTCACATTCTTCCTTGTGCCAGAGACACGGGGCAAAACATTCGACCAGATTGCAGCAAACTTCCAACAGCGCTCTGCAGGAATGATGGATATGGACCTGGATCTGGACCTGGATCTGGACAAGCCCAGCACTGAGCTGGACTATTTGGGGGAGGAAAGCAACCACTGAGGGGTCTCTCTGTAGGGAAATGAGACTGTGTTTAGCTTGGGATGAACCGTGTATGTGGGCCTGACTCTAAAGCTTTATTTTCTGACATGTATATTGAGGTTAATTGATGTATTCATATAGATTGTTGTGCCAAAGCAGTGTTAAAGGTGTGTGATAAGTGTCCTTTCCTGGTACTACTGCAATATCGGGTTACCAATTGAGCCTTGACAAAGAGGAGACTACTGTAGTTTAAAGAAATAAGATGTACTTCAGAGCTAAGTGTCTCCATTGTTGAGGCATAGCCTGTGCATGTGGTGGGATGTTATTCCATGGTGATGCACTCTGTGGCAATATTGACAGAAGACGGAGGTGGAGAGACTTGGGATTCCTGCACTTTATGTACAGAGACATCTATAGTTAATCAGAGTTTGGAGGTAACCCCCCCCCCCTCCTTCAAGAATAAGATCATCAAAGTAGTGTGCTTACATACTTTGTACTCAAGCTGGGAACACTCCTGTGTAAATGCTACCGATTCAAACACAGACAGCATTCAGATTGTTATAATTTAGGGTTTGTCTGAAAGGGACGTCATGACATTTGGGTGTGTTTACTGTCCCAGAACTTAAAATAAGGCAACCCAAGCATTTCTTATGTGGGCTGCCTGAAATACTTTATTGCCAAACTGCAATTTCAAATCATGAAGTGTAGACCCAGCTAAAGCAATCACAACATATATTTCTGATCATGAGAAACGTATTGCACAACCTGCAGAAATGCTACTGTTAAAGAAATTATATTTTAGTACTTCATGTGTACATAGTGTTTTATTTGGTTGTTGATATTAAGGTATGAGGGTCTAAATGTTTCAATTCTTTATGCACTCCAGTGGTTGTTTGGTCGTGTAAACAGAAGCCTGATGCACTAGACTAGAGAGAGTTGTGCAACCAAAGGACTGCCTGTATAGAGTAGATTATTATTCTGTATTTGTCTGTCATGTGTGCCGTTTATTCTTTATTGGTGTGTATCACTACCTTCTGAAGATTTGTATTGAGGTTGTTCAGTGAGGACCTGTTATTTGTATTATGAATTGTGATGCTGCTGTCAATAGGATGCTGTAAATAAGGTTACTGAAAACACCTGTGAAGGTCTCCAGTGATTTCTATATAGAATTATAAATTGTATTACCACATTTTTTTACACAAATGCGGACAAAAGTAGTCATATGTGCACCCTATTCACGAAGAAATAAGGGCTGTATCTTGACATTTGCAAACATGATTTATTAATTAACATTTCAACTACTGACATTGCACATAATCCCCTCCAAAAGAAAAAGCACACACAAATAAGTAAAACAAAAATAAAGTTTCTTTTTATCAATCTATCCTCAACTGAGGAGATGAAGGGAGTAGTTGTTTTTTTAAGAATGGATTGAGGTGGCAACATAACTGACTCCCACAATGCACCACCAATCTAACACCTGCTTGGTTTTTCCCCTCTTCAACCAAATTTTAAAAAGGGTAAATAAAAATCAAGGTTGGTTCCTCTATAAACTACTTGATGCTTCCCGTCCAGCCAATTAAAGAAAACGCCTTTTTTTAAAGGGGGGTTGGAATAACTGGGCTACCAAGCAGATTTTCTATTATAATTTCTTTTAAAGATGCACTTACAATGTCTCAATATGCACACAAAACAACCTTTTATCCCCCATTTCCCTACCTCATCCCTTTCCAGAAATCAGTTACGAGACAGGACAAGACAAAATGAGGGGTGGGGGCCCGGAGGGGTGGGGGCCGGAGGTATGACAGCGAGACAGGGTGGGTTGTTGGAGGAGGGAGGGTAGGGAGGGGAGAGCAGTGCATGTGTTCTGAAATAGGTCCAGTCCTCCAACCCTAGGAACTATGGAAAAGGGAAAAAACACATGGGAGACAAAGGGAATGAGAGAACAGCACAAGCACAATGGATTCTGGTGGCTTTGAGTTTGACACGGATAACGGCTTCAGCTACCAGTCAGAAAGGGCACGTTAAAGAAATTAAGATATTCTAAATAAAGTAGGTTTTGGGGGACTAAATATGTTATGCTGCTGCTCTCATCCAGAACAGTACATTGCTCCGCTCCCTTACTGGGACTCTGGTTCTCCGAGCTCAGGGCGAGCCGACCCCCCTGCACTTTTGGCAATACGCTGACGATGGATAAATACCTTATACAACCCAATTCCAAAACATCCCAACTATCACTTTAACGTAGGTCTCCTCGCACTCTGTGTAAAATGTGAGCCAATGCAGCACCTTTATCTGAATAGGAACCCTGCAAAACCCCCATGTCCCCCACCCTGCTTCACCCACCTCTTACCAAGGGTTACAGGACTGTCCTCTCACGAGCATCACTCTGTTGGTGCTGGGTCTGTTGTAGCAGCTGCCTGCTGTGGCTAAAGACACAGGTTAGATATTAGTGTCAACACAACAAATTCTAGTAACCATACAGATTAGAAGAAAAAATTAAATGTAGTTTTAGCATCTTACCTCGGGTGATTTTGGCGGTTTAGGAGAGGTTTTAGGGGACGACTTGGGTGCTTTTGTCGTGGACTTAAGGTCACCTGGTTTGGACGTCGGAGGAGGGGTACCAGGCTCGGATGCAGACTTCTCTGTATCATTCTGCAATAGCAAACCATGAGTTAAACCTCCGGAACATTTTCCAAAATGGCTTTCAATCTAAAATACAATTGACCCAGTGAGGTTTGAATGATTGTATACCAATTAGACCACAAGGTCACATGACACCATTGAAGCAAAAGTGATCATTGATTTAGTGGTGCAGCCTCAGCCCATATTGTAAAACACTGCGCTGTCAACTACACTGATGACATCACTTCCTGTTTGAGGACAATTTTGTTTGACTTGAGGCAAGGTGGAGAACATACTTTATAATGTAAAATACATTAAAAAAAAACTTTAAAGCTCATTCGTATGTGTTGCATTTACTCTGCACTTGCAAGTCGAGTTGAATTTATGAACTTTGAACTCTAAATGTACAATTAGCTCAGATCTGACTTGATACTTTTAACACTCACTTTCGAGGTCGAGGACTCGGAGTTCCTCGTCCTGCGGCGTCTAGTCGGGCGGCGTTGTTCCTTCTGGTCCTCAGCTGCTTCTCCGTTGGTCTGGGGGCTCTCAGAGGCCTCCGGCTGCTTCACTTCTTTTTGCTCCTGGCTCTTTTCTGGAGTAGCCTGCTCGCCGTCTGTAGCCTGCTCAGCTGGTGGGCGAGGACGGAACGGTCTGTGACAGAGGACATGGAAGTCAAGCTTTTCAGTTCTGTAGTTCACAAACATAAAAATGAAAACGTCATGTCACCTGCGGTACGGGCGCCAGAATCTGCGCTGTTGCGGTCGCGGTGGCTCGTCGCACTCTGCCACTCCGTTCTTCTGTTCTCCAGCCTCACCCTGAAAGATGAAGAAGCCAAAACTGTGTTTAATAAAAAAAACTGTCACTTATTGAACTTTGGGATTTCGTCAAAAAAGGTTGTGGTCGTTTTCCCTTGTGCTAACCCTTCTCTTTCAGCTTACCTCTTGTGCCTCTGGACGTGGTCTACGGGGCCTCCGACGGCGCTGCTGAGGTTTCCCTGCATCGTTTTCTCCTGATACTTCGCCCTCAACAGCAGAGGACTGGCTCTCTGCTGTTTTCTCGTCATCAGGCCTTGGGCTCCTGGGGAAGAACCTTCGACGGAAGCGGCGTTTGTTGGGTGCGTAGCGGCTACCTTTGACAGGAACACCGCCCGGACCGGTTACATTTGCTGCTTCTGAGCCCTGTGGGACACCAAGGCAATGGAACATTTATAGAAATCAACACATCTTAAACTGTTGTCATAATGCCATACTACAAAATGGATCCCGAGATTCTCACCTTGGCGGCTTCAATCACATCAAACTCTACTACCTCCCCGTCTCCGACACTGCGGAGGAACTTCCTGGGGTTGTTTTTCTTGATCGCGGTCTGAGGAGACAGATTTAACATCAAATAATGGTTCCAAATAAAGCCATGTACATTAATTCAAAAAGACCCTTTACCTTACCTGATGTACGAACACATCTTCTTTGGTATCATTTCTGTGAGAAATAGAACCTGATTAGCTTTGGAATTATTGAGGACAGTTACAGAAAACTTGAAGATGCACTAAAATTGTAAAGTAATGCAGACAACATTATGTTGAGGAAACACAATACCTGTTTATGAAGCCATATCCATTACGCACATTGAACCACTTCACTGTGCCTTGGACCAAGGTGGCTAAAATAACAGGTAGCACATGATTAAATATGTATTGCAGTCACATTTCACATAAGACATTGTTTTAAAACCATTCCAAGAACACAATATAGGCATGTTCTTATCTTGCTTATATCAATGACAGCCTTGCTTACAACAAGAAAAGGCAGAGTTGTGTGTCAATCATTAACAGAAAGACTTTGAAACCTGGTCTGCACTAGGTCACGAGGAAGGAGGGGGGGGGAGAATGCTAAACAACAACGCTATGTTACACCTCGGTGGTCACAAAAATATGAATTTTGACAGTGACAATTGAAGATGCTCTTGAAAAAAACGTCACCTCAATGCATTTAATTGGAACCTTAGCTTATCAATTAAATCGTTTGCACCTGTGAGGGTGCGCGTGCGCAGGCCGGGTGGCAGCGCGAGACAGCTGATAAAAAAGGAGATGTACGTCATGTGTTCAAACTGTTAAACAAACTTAAATAAATATTAAGCGTTTATTTTGTTTCCTTCTTAGTGTAGTAAACAAAAAGGATGCTGCTTTAAAAAGGTGCGCAAAAAAGTAGGAAGAATCAGGTGTGCTAGTGCTCTAATTTTGGGTAAACTATGAACCAAATTACATTAAAAGTCTGCCAATAAAAGCACCTACGATTTTTTTTGTTTCACAGTAGAAGTCTGAATTTGTTTGGTATTGCTTCCTATGTGTTAAACTCAGGACACGTGTTTCTCCAAAAACGCAACACAAATGATTGATTGGCCTTCATACTCTCCATTAGTTGGCACTTTTTAATAACCATTACCTTGCAAAAGTTGACACTTTTTAAAATACAACAACAGCATTACACACGAAAAAGTTTTATTTTACATGAGTTGAAAAATGATGCTGCCTCAACATAAATCTTTTTATCCGACTCATATCCATAAAACATAGATTCAAAGTCAAGATTAAAGAGTGCTGAACCACCTGACCCTCACAGATCTGTAGGCTATCAGAAGGACTCTCTTCACCCACCTATGACTTTTCTCTCCGGCTGTGGCTCTTCCTCCAAGGGGGCAGACAGTGGAGCGCTCTGCGGTTCGGGTTCGATCATGCTCGCTGTCGGATTACTTTACTATCACTCCGCAGTCCCCTCCCTCCGGCTCGTCGCGAAACTTTTCTCTCCTTCAACTTCTTCTTCTTTGGGGTTTCCCGGCAGCTGGCCTCCTTGGCGTTGCATTAGTGCCTCCCTCTGGATGTGGTCTATAAGTACAGGGGCTCACATCAAACCAAATAGCCTATTTTCTGCCCTTTCTTTCCTCTGGCTCCACACTGGCCTGTCCTGCACCTTAGAGTGTACTCAGAAATATTGCCATTGTATAATAATATATCAAAGTTAAATGAACCCAGTCACTTAGAATAATAATGTATCATACAAACATTACAGAGGTAGGAAGTAACTATAAGTACATTTACTCAAGTACTATACTTAAGTACAATTATTTCCATTATTTTCCATGTGTTGCTACTTTGTACTTCTACTCCACTCCAATTATTCTGTAGCGTATAGTTCCTTTGCGGATTTGGATTGATAATGTGAAATGTGAACACTTAAATAAGCACTTGATACGTACTTTTACTTTTGGTAATTTAAGTATATTTTTATACTAATACTTTTGTAGACATCTGAAACATGAAAAGGGGCCCTAGGCTAGACACCGATTATTTGTGAGTTTCTTTCATGATATATTATTGGTAATGTGCAATCTTAGTTTCAGTGAAGCGTGATGCACCTAGCGATTAATGTACTTTAGTCAAATGTACAACATTTCCCTCTGAAATGAAGTTAGCATCAAATAAAATGTTCCTCAATATGAATTGCTTCATCAGAAAAGTGTTGTTTTTGACCAGGAGGGGGAAGGGAAGACATTGTTGAGTAGAAAACATCTTGATCAGGAAAGGTGTCATTAATAAGGGCTGTTATTGAGCTCTGAAGACTTGCTGTGGGTGCTATATGAAGTTTCATTTGGCATGATTAAAGCAATAAAGGAATTGCCTATTTCAGGTTACAATAGCTTTGCATTTAACTGGCCTACAGCGCTGAGCATAGGTCATCTCCTCTTTCATGGCTCTACATTTAGCAGCAGTAAGAACTGCCATGTTCATCCAAACCATTCTTTGTAGCAATGTGTCTGTATAGAAATAAAGACACTAATTATAAGTGTAATTATTATTAGCAGAGGGAATTAGAGGAGCACACTGACATTTCGAAGATGCAGGGCTATTACAAGAAGAAGATATCATGTTAATTGAACTTTCTTTTGGTCAATGGAAATTCCTGTACATAAACTGATATGCCTTGTGCTTTCACTACATCTGGATGATAACTGTTATACTTTAATATGCAAGTAAAAGGCTCTAGTGCAGGGGTCGGCAACCCCTGGCACGCGTGCCAGCATTGGCACGCGGCACCGTAACCAGTGGCACACTAGGAATAAGTGGAATAAGTGTACAAAATATTTAAATTGTATTTTCGGATCCTGAACGAGACCGACGCCAGAGCGCGTCTCCTCGTTACCTGCAGAAGGAAGCCATGCACGCAACGCAGCACCGCTCTCCTTGACTCCAGGTGACTTTCTGCCGCTTTCCTCCGTGGTGCAGTGCTGATCGTTTCACCACAGAGAAAAGCACTTCACTAATTGCAGTACCCATAAGGAGCTATACAGCTCCTTATGGGTACTGCAATTAGTGAAGTGCTTTTCTCTGTGGTGAAACGATCAGCACTGCACCACGGAGGAAAGCGGCAGAAAGTCACCTGGAGTCANTTCTTCTTCATCATCAGACAATGCACTTAAGCAGACAATTAATCGTTTAACTGTCTTAACCTCTCAGAGCAGCTGAGCAGGGGAAATAGAAACCGCCCTTCTTTTAGATCCATGGTAATTCATTGATTCCTGAGGTACGTTTTATTTTCCTGAATGGATCAACTTCGGCGGTATCATTCGTGGACTTCTGCTTGCAACACACCATCACACACAGGCATTTTTTTCTGGACAAATAGCCGAGCGAACCCTGAGATTTTTGTTTTTCTCAGCCATAACCATGTCCTCGAAGCTCCTCACAGGACTCAGTGACTGAATAAAAGAATGGCTTGTAACGATACGTGGACTGCCGTGCCGCCTTTCCATATCTGATTGTTTCTCTATTATAATATGTGATAATATGACTTCTGCATACCATGACATTTCGCTCTCCCCTTCGCCATCTGATGCCATCCTGATTTCACCGAATAGGAATTGCACTTAATTTTTTTTTTTCCCTTTCTATTTTTTGTTGCAGTTGGTTTTGTATTTGATTCAGATTTACAGCCTTCCTCTGTCAGTTTCTACCCGCTCCGCTAACTGTATGGGTTCAACTACTAGACCCTCCGTCTTTAAAATGCCTTCTGAACAATGTCAGTCCTGTCAAGGCTCACACTGGCTTCTTATTGGCTCTGTCTCCAGGTCTGTGTTACTAATAAAACACTTGTCAGTATCGACCCGGTATTATCCCAGCTTGTTTTCTTTATATGCACTTTATTCTGAGGTCATGGTCATACTTGAGGCAGAACATTTTGCCCGATTACCTTTGCTATGGTAAGCGGGAGGTCCAATGGTTCACAGTTTCAGATTGAGGTAATAAGTGGGATGTTTGCTGGTCATATGCTGCCATCATGTGGTGTGACAGGAAACTGCAGGGAAAGGCACACTGCAACGTGGAAAGGGAGGCAACATGAGCATCCGTTAGTAAGTGTGTAGCCTTATATGGCCCCTTATAGCGAGTAATGTGCGTGCGTGTGTGTATAGATATATCTAGCTAAAACTAATGCAGCCTAACACAACAGATTCAATGTTATAATGAGAGGTGTTTATTCAACTGTATGATCATTTTAGAGGATAAAGTCTGGTGATTGGGTTATTTTATACACATAGGTATTGCACCACAAACTACAGCCTCCTGTATTACCATTATGTTTAACCAACACTTCTATTGACCAGTTACCGCAATAGTAACGCATTATAACCCTCATGGATGAAGGATTTATTTCAGGACTGTTGTAAAACACTGCTTCAGCTTTAGCTAAATGTTGGTTAATGTGACTTTAAGCTCACTTGTTTTCTTTTTTAAATGATTATTTTGTAGGTACATCACAACTGTGATTTACCCCTTTAGCTTGATCCTAACATACAGGTAGGTGCCTGAACATGTTAATCAATAATTGTAAATGTACTGACCAGTTAGAGCTTAACACATTTTACACATTTAATGACACATACATATCTTAATGTTATCCATTCTATTGCAGGGGTAAGCAACAGTGCTATTGCAGGCCAGCCTCATTATTACATTTCACCTTCTTTGTTGCATTTGTCAACAGTTCCTGGGAAAGGAGATACTTTAATTTAGGAACTGAGCAGACTGATGCAGGAGTGAGCTGTAGCTGCTGAGAGTTGGTTAGTGAGGTAACTTCATGGTTTGTGGTGAAATGGGTAGGTTTTACATGGAATGGTTCCCTGATGATGTAAAGTTGTCATTTACCATGTAGATCTTTCATACCTGAATTCCCACAATAACACTCCACTTAGTAAGACTCAAGATCTACTGGACAGCTCACTTTTAATCCGAGAAAAAAACAGTCCAAACCTCACCACTTATATCCTGTGTGGGAGCAGAACACTATACTATGATCACATAAGTTATCATTGTGGTTTCCATTTAGAATGCCTTGAATGTAAAGAGAAGTCAGACACTTGAGGGGCTTTTAAGATTGATGTCTGCCAAAGCACAAAGGAGATTTGAGTTGGAAATGTCATTTGAGTAGATAAGAGTGAGTCAGAGCGCTGAGTCACATGCACAACCTAAATAAAGGTTAGCAATTTTTCCTATGAGTGTTTGAAGACATGGAAACATGGCAGTATGTTACTTAACTCTGAATAGACACTTAAAGGTGGGGTAGGAATTTTTCGAGAAAAAGGCTCGAGATACACTTTTTGTTATATTCCATGGAATGCGCTTAACATCCCGATAGCAATGAATATCTTAAATGCTTTGACAAAAATCCATTAAAAAAATGTCATCTGTGGAAGCCTTAGTACTGTAAAAAGCACGACCAATCATGTAAAAAGCACGACCAATAATTTTAGCAGGCCCAGCTAAAATAACTGGATGGCCTACCTTCCATCTGTGCACAAACGTATCTCGTGCCCTCATTGGTCATGTGCGCGTTCGTGTGTGTTGGAGGAGGGGCTCTATGACTCTGGACCTGGGCTCTGTAAGGAAGTGGCAGATTTCTTCCGGTTGTGTGGTATTTTCTAATTCTAGCGCTACCTACCCCACCTTTAACATTGGAATCTGTTTCTAGAATATTCCCAATAGTTTTCTTAAACCAGTATTCACCTCCATTAAAAAGTTGGTGGCCCACTAGAAAATGGACACCTTGATTTGTTACCACCCTTGCCATTATTCTTAGGAATCTTACGGAATACTTGTTATTATTTCTCTAATGAGGAAACTTCAATCCAATGTAGTCTACACTTAGCTCGGATAGTTAGTCAATATACCTTCAGTTTATAATAATTCCCATTTTTTGAGGACTTGCTGGATGTCTTTTGGCCCAGATTTAAAGCACAAATAATCTATACAGCCAAAACCCCTGTTATGTATCGCATGTTTTTCAGTTTCTCTGCTCTAGCTGCTAACTCCTGGGCCTCGGTCATATGACAAGGACAGCTGCCTCTTCACTGCCCTGCCTCTTGTCTCTACCCGCAGCGGTTGATCAAAAATAAAATAGTTCCAAAGAAGAATTTCATCCCATACCTTAAAATATTTATTTTCAAAATATGTATTTAAAGGGAACACATTCCAATTAAATGAATACCCGTTTTCAGAACTTAACGTTTACGTGGTCTGGGAACGCGAGAAGTAAACCCTGCAAAGTAGACCCTCTGCAACGTCATGTTGTTATTGTATCCCTCCGCGGCAGTCGCACTAGGAAAACAGCTGAGACGAGCTCTAAGCTAGTTAGCAACGTTTGTTTTTGTCGAGAGTGTCAGCGATTTGAGCAGTCTCTTTAGCAAACCGTTATCACGCGATTTAGGAGTGACTGAGTTGTTGTCTGTCATCTCTTTCAACAATGAAGTTCCAGTACAAAGAAGAGCACCCCTTTGAGAAAAGGCGGTCCGAAGGCGAGAAAATAAGGAAGAAGTATCCGGACAGGGTACCTGTAAGTATGCTAACGTTAGCTCCCTTACGCGATATATATTGCAATGCTAATGCTAGTAAATTGTTAATGACATCTCTTGAACACAAATATAATCTTCCTATAGTCATGAAGTTAAGTTGTAGCCACATTAAAATATGATTATCTTTCACCATAGTTGACTGCCACGTTAGTAAACAACAGTCACTCAGCTAACAAAGATAGAGGTGAACCAGCGGCCGCACCTAGCAGGCCAGCTAGTGATAGCTTTGTGTAATCCTTCCGTGTATGTATTTATTTAAAAGATAACATTACAAAACCATAAGTAATATTACCCAACAGATGTTATAATGGTCGTATGGGTAATACAGTGTAAGGCGTTGATACTGATCGTAGATTGAACGCGTAACTGGGTGTCGTTTTAGGCTGTATGTTGAAACAGCAGTGCACCTTAAAATAGTATGCGTCAACACACAGGATACTTGTTTACGTCGCCCTGGCGATTGGTTATAGGTGATTTAGTCCACCAAAAATATTTGCTTTTTGCCACTCAAACTGAACCAACTATAATATCAGTATATTAAGGTGCTTCTGTAATGTATGACGAGCTTGGTGTGTTTTTTTCAGAGCAATCCAGTTTCATTTTAGAGCTCTTATCAGTCATGGAAGTAACAACAATGGTGTAGCCTGTCTAAATATTGAGTAGAACTACAATTATTTTCTCAAGTAATGCCTGCCTTGTTTTGTCTGATCAATAGTTCAAAACTCAAAGATGTATATTTTGTTGGTCATAAAGGACAAAATAATCTGAAGATTTTCACATTTGACAACCTGGGACCAAAATATTTTCTTGAAGAAATACATGTAATAGTTAATGAGTAGTTATGGTTGCTGGTTACTTTTCTGGCCATTAACCAATCGTGGCGTGTCACTGACGGTGTGTGGGAAGGTAGCATTCAGGTAGTACTCCTATTTTTAGACTAAACAGAGGCACCTTTTAAGTAGTTTCATTTTTGTGCGCCTACAGTATTAAATCAGAAGACTGATTTGTACACATACAAATATATTAACTAACAAATTACTGGGCTCCAGATACTGTTACAATTAAATGCCTTATCTTGGTAAAGAATATTTCCGTCCTTGCTTATCAGCCAATGTTGTTGGTTTCAGATCACTTTTCTTTGAAAGGTGGAAGTACTTCTCCTTTTATTTACATAGGTAGAGTTTCTTCAGTGGAAAATGTACTAGATTAATTTGTTGAGGACATGTACAATGGTTATTTTTTCAGGTAATTGTGGAGAAAGCCCCCAAAGCCAGAATAGGAGATCTGGACAAGAAGAAATACCTTGTCCCCTCCGATCTGACAGGTAAATATATTTTTTAAGTGCAAAGATACTGGACAACTTCTATAAAACACATGTACAACAATAAATAAAATCTTCTTTTTTTAACAGTGGGACAGTTTTACTTCCTCATCCGGAAAAGAATCCACTTGCGGGCCGAGGACGCACTCTTCTTCTTTGTAAACAACGTCATTCCACCCACCTCAGCTACCATGGGACTGTTGTACCAGGCAAGACTCATTTTCTACCTCACTGACCATGTCGTTATCCATGTATTGTCTCATATTGAGATCTTATGTTTTCTTTCTATTTCTCAGGAGCACCATGAAGAGGACTTTTTTCTCTACATTGCCTACAGTGATGAGAGTGTGTACGGGAGCAGCCAAAGGGAAATCTGATCCCACTACCATCCCCCCCCAACCACTACCCACCTTTCGGAGACCTCCACCATGCATTCATTTAAATATTAAATCCAGCCGAGCAGCTTGGAGTCCCCAGAGTAAAAATATGTCAAATGCACTTTCACCACCCATACAATAGCCCTCTCCCACCCATATATGTCTCTATTATTCTGCAGTCTGAATTGTATTTGCCTCCACTTTTCTTTTCACTTGCGACATGAGGGAAGTGGTCTCGTGGCCAGTTTTTTTCTAGTGTCGTAATTGATAATGCTTTACAAACTGAGCAGGAATAACAAAGTAATGTTAGAACTAAGCCGTAAATATAGTTACCCCGGGGTTAAGGGAAGAAAGACAGACATAGTAAGTGAGTTCAAATCAGATCTTGTTGACATTATTGTTTGTCCAATCTGCGTGCTTGCAGGATTATATAAAGTGTGTTTTGAGTTTAGGTTAGGAAATGAATTGCATCTACCAGGTGAATGTAGGTGATTTTTTCTCGGGCAAAGTAAAGGATAACTGCTTTGCAGCAGTTCTTTTCCTAGAAAAAACTGAAGTCTGAAGGGGAATTTAGTGGGCCGCCCCACATCTGACCTTAGCAAGGAGTGTAATATAATTCAGACTAAACAATCATCCTCTGCTTTAGGTGGTAAGACTATTTTGACTGCTACTATGATTATTGTTGTTGTTATTGTTTCTTTAGATGGCTTAATTTCTAAAAGGTATTGTAAAGCTCAGTGCAATTTTCTCTTTTTTTAAGTTTATCGCCTTTTTTTTAAAGAAAAAAAAATAGATTTGAACTCTGTATACAGCTGCATTGCTGGCTCTTTCTCTCCATGACCATACATGATTAAATGTGATTAAAAGCTACTTGTGTTACTTGTCTTTTTTGGTTATTGTGTTTATCATGTTGGTTACAGGGTTATTAATTTAAAGAAAATTATAGTTTTCCTTGTGAACCTTAGTGCAAAGTTGTTGATTGATGCACTGAAGAACACTTTAAAACATGAAAAACCCAGAATCTTGATAAAGTTCAGCCTTACTGTATTTGCATTAATTGCCTATTATCCCATAATACGGTTTCTTAAAAAAATGGTGAGCCTTACAAAATTGAGAAATAACTAAATATAACAAATATTTACATGTATTTACATCCAGAGGGTAAGTATGACTAGTAAAATGAACAGGATAAAGTATGTCCTAAATCCAATACTGTTTAGATTAAAGTTAATTTTCCTGACACTTTTACCCCAATGGGACTTACTATAAGCGCAATTAACCATAAAGAACAAACTCGGAACAAGAAGAAAAGTACAGACATTCAAATCCAATATGCAAAGCCGTTGTAAGTAAGTGCTGGTGCAATAGTTACGAATTGGCTACGTAGCCTGTGCTAATGTATCATAGGTGGCTTTATGGCGTTAAAGTAAAACAATTAACAGCTCAACCAACCTACTGACGTTATTATGGTCATGTGTTATTGTCTAACCGGAATATATACTAAACAAATGAACAGAGAAAAACGAGTGTTTTTTGGAAAGAAACAACAAACAACTGTAAGAGAACCATGTACAAATCATTTGTGTTAAATGCCAGAACCGCTGGGTGACAAAAGGGAACGTTATTATTTTTCAGGCATGTAACGAAATATTTTCACAATGGACGGAGCCAATCACATCACGGCATCACAATGGACAGAGCCACTCACGGCACGGCTTCTCCCCGAATCGCCCCCCTCACGCTTTTGGTTGACAGTGGACAAGTCGCGAGGCGCATCAGAGGTATTCAGAGTAGGCTAAGTAACAACATTACATGTTTCTATTTTCCCGTTTACAGTCATAAAACCTATTTTTACAACCATCGTTTTGGCGTCAACTTTTACATTACGGTATACAGTCGGCAACTTCAGTCTGTATCGTGTCTCGGTTAAATACACGTTATTATATTAATCAATGTCAACAGCCATGTGTTACACATCCGATTGACAACAGTCATTTAAATAAGTTGTTAAACGACTCTTGTAAGAATGGGCATGTTGTAATTAGTAACTACACTTCTGTGAGCAGTGGTACATTAGTCATACAGCATATACACAGAAGTGGGAAGTAACTAAGAATATTTACTCAAGTACTGTACTTAAGTAGAATTTTGAGATACTTGTACTTCACTTGAGTGTTTCCATATTTTTCTACTGTGTACTTCTACTCCACTACAATTCAGAGGTAAATGGTGTACTTTTACTCCACTACATGTGTTTAATAGCTTACCTTTAGTTACTTTACAGATTTGGTTAAGATGCCTATTGGTTACTGGTGTCGTTTTATGAGTTTATGTGTATCAGTTTATTTGTATAGACACCTAAAGTATATCATATGATATAAATATCTTTATGTGAGATATGTTTATGTTTATTAAGGATCCCCATTAGCTTTTGCTCTCGACAAAAGCTACTCTTCCTGGGGTCAGACACTTAAAATAATACAACAATAATACAGCAACATTTAGGACATAAGTCCTGACATCATTAACAACATTAAAAACAACACCAATATCATCAACAACATGCGATCAAATTAAATTAAATTAGGGTTCACAGCTCACAAGGGTACATGGTCATTAGTAGATGGCCCTTCAGTCTCTTCTTGAAAGAGGCTCTGGACTCTATTTCAGTAAGGTAGTTTGGCAATGAGTTCCATTCCTTTATAGCTCTATAAGACACAGAAGATTTCAGAAGATTTGTCCTGGGTTTAGGGGCCTGTAGATGGCCTGATGTAGCTTGTCTAGTCTTATGGTCATGCTCGTCTCTTGTGTAAACTATTTGATCATAAAAATAGTGATTTTTTGCTAAATTGGACATTTTTTTGAAAAGTGATAACACGAGATTGCAGACGTTTCTCAACTGGAAGCCATGATAGGTTTCTATGCATAACTCCAATATAAGTGCGCAGATAAGGGATCGTTGCTCAGTATGATATGATAAAGTGTGTTATATCTGCTCCAGGAAGGATACCGTATATTGTTGAATATATATTAAAGATAGCTATATACTGTATATAACATTACATTAATTGTAATTCAATATAAATACATCAATCATTTATGGAGAACATGATGTGTTTATACATGATTATATGTGTAGATAACCTGTATAAATAACGGTTAACATGGTATCAGTGTTGTTCGCTTTGCAGTGGAGTCCTCTCTAACACTTGCATTGTTATTTTACTTAAAGTTTAGATGATCACTAAACCTATAACCCATAAAGAAATGGGAGATGCAGAATGGACGGGCTTTGGCCTTCAGGAGGGATAAATCCGCTCCAAGGAAACGGAAGTGACGTGACCTCTGTCAGAAGGTAAAGTATAGAAACATATGTACCTATTACTTATTATTCACATATGATAAGTATATTACTGAACATTTACAATTTACTGGTGCAAATATTATCAATCAAATGATTTACACTGAGTGACTCACTCCAGACTAAAACATAATGATGATAGTTTCAGATTAAGAAATGCCTCATGCATACATTTTATATCACACCACCAGTTAAGGTAGGTCCAGTACTCTGGCCCCTTTAGTGAGAGACACCGGGAGTTCTGGGGGGTTTCCTGCCTGGTGTCTGGAGGTCGTACTACAGGACTGTACCGTGGAGGTATGGAACGTGTGCACGCAGGGCCTGAGGGCCTGAATTCGTGAGGGGGTGCTTGATTTGGGTCTATAGTGTGGGGTGTCTTGAGTACGGGGACCATTGGGATTTTCCCCACCTAAACGCACGAAACTTGGCAGGCGTGGTAGCCGCTAGGTATAGCCAGAATAAGTGCCGTGTGGTGGGGATTCTATAAGAGTCACGAGGACATTGGGAAACTTTATCAGACTATGAATAAGTCCCGGTAGTGAGTGAATGTTCGGTCTTTATGTACGAATTTATCAGCCTATTTCACCAAATTTGCAGACGCTTCTCTCAACATCGGACAGTAATAACGTGCTATTACCAAAAGTACTAATAATTTGTAACTTAGATAGAAGAAGACCTTTGTAAAGATTCTCTTAGTATCAAGGTATAGTGTCACTCTGTCTCGTAGTTACAATGTTTTTACTATAGACGTTTTTACACCGTGATTCGCTGTATTGAGTCCTCTTGTTCAAAGACGCATTATCATGTCATACCTCTTCGACAAGAGTGTCCATTACATAAGTAAGATCACGCACGACTTTTACTCTCTCTACGTAACCTTATCTAATTATTTTTTATCCCGTATCTCGTTGAATTGGACAGGGTCCAAACGTCGCCTATTATTAAATTGTACGCTTCATTGACGAGACGGAATCACTCATTTGCTCCTTATCTGTCTTATTTTCACAAGTCGATCATGTCCTTCCGCCATGTTACACAGTATAGAGGATGATATATACTCGTCCAGGATTTGTGGTCACATATGTCAATCTTTCCGTCCTTATGTCACATCATTAATTGTTTATCGATGTAGCTGTCGCCTTAGGTCAACTCGTCTCGAACGAAACACAGTATTCGGATCGCGTACGCGCAGTGCGGGAGAGATAGAGATTTGTAGTGACAACCGACTTTTGCCTCCTTCGTAGTCACAATGGAGCCATATCGAGGAGGCTCTAGAGGAGAGGAGAGAGAGAGCAGGAGAGTAAGGAGGAGAGAGGAGATTTAGTCACATAGGAGCCAATGCCGGAGGAGGTCTGTCGGGGAGCTATCTAGCGTAGGAGCTACTCGAAGAGCCTCGCTGTTAAACAATAGATATCGGAGGTGTGTCCTAGCCGGCGCTCGCTGGCTGCTCAGCCGTTGTTACAAGCCCAAATTTATAAGGCCAGGGACGCTCGCGGTGGACCGTGACGCTCCTGGACCCTCCGACCCTGGCGCCTTTTACTCTCTTGACTGTTGCCGAGTAAAGCCTCCTGAGGACTAAACGCGGCGGCGGACCTTGGGAAAGGTCCCATATAAGTAAAAAAAATAATAAATTATTAGTGTACTGTAAAATTTTTTTTGTCATCGCAAGTAGCTCGAACTGGCTCGCACCACGGTCTGGTTATATCGTTATTTATTTATATGGTTAGGGCGTGATGGTGAGATTGGAGTCTCTGTTCGTACCCTGGTTCACGTGCACCTTGTACCATCATCCTCACATTCTGGCTTTTATCCCTCCCGGGAGGTGTGCGATGTACGCCCGGGTGACACCTGTCATGGGTCTTCTGGTGTCCGGTGTCGCTGTGTGTACGCAGGCTACCTGGTCCTAGGGTCCCCGGCTGCGTTAGGTATAATCTAAGAAAGGATAACAAAAAAGATAGAGCTCTCAGCGTAAAGGAAGGAGTCTTTCTATTCAAGAGAGGAAGAAACTCTACGTATCTGAGGGAAACCGACTACAAGACCCGCCTGGACACGTACGGAGATACACTAGTTTAACACGCGAGAACGCATTGTGAGGAAAAATGTTTATCGTAGGAACACATATACTTTGGAGGCCTGCCGTCCACCTCGGGGATCCATCATCTAAGACCTCGACGACGACCCAGGAGCACTGCAAGCAATATTCGGCGCTGCGTCGTACGACCGACTCTACCGACAACAACCCAACTTGGAGGTTGTGAGGGCGGAACATGGAGACGAGGCGTGATGTCTGTGTACGAAGGACCGGGAAGAAAGAAGCAGATTGGGTGAGGAGCTTACTGCGAGAAGGTGTTACCAGAGCCCCGCTGTCAAAGGGCGGAGTAGGGAAGGAGAACCGCGGAAGTTAAGAGGAAACTGAAATTTTGTCACTGGTCCATGTACTCCTCTGCTGCTCACACCCTGTGATTCCCGGCGATCTCATAACAGCTTGTCGAAGACTGTTTCTAGTGATCGCATCGGT